ATCCTCACAGAAAAAATGTTGTTGTTGCTGACAATTTGCTATGTGTGTATTGCGGGCGAAATGGTCATCTGAAGAAGGAGTGTCCAGCTTGGAAGATAACTCAAGAAAGTTCTTCAAACTATTCCAAACAGAGGAACATACAGAAGAAATGAGACCTGGTCTTGCCTTTGGTCTTAAGTTGAAGAAAACTAGTCTGCCTCACTCGACAAAATATTTTTCTTATCACTTCGTTATCAGCTTACTGGGAACTTTGTCTCAAATGGGTTCCCAAGGGTAGCAAGTGATTTGCTATGCAAGTAAGAGGATGTAGTATCAGTCAGTGTTGGTTTATGAATGGTGGATGCTCAAACAACATGACTGAGAAAACTAAAAACTTCCTCTCACTCTCAAGGCACTTCAAAGTGGAGGTGTCTCTTTTGGAAATGGCAAGAAATGGCAAATTTTTGGAGTAGGCAGGACATTGAAAGTCCGTGGAACACTATTTTGAAAATGTGTACTATGTCAATGGGTTGAAGTACAATCTTCTAAGTGTTTCACGGATTTGTGATAAAGAAAATTGACTTAAGTTCCTATCAGATAAATGGGTGGTCACAACTTAATATCTCGGATAATGATGTTGACAAAAAGGAGATGCAAGAACATGTACTGCTGATCTAAACACTGCTCGTTGTAATATTCTCACTTCCCTTGATGCTAAAGGTGAGAATGCTAATCTATGATACATGAGACTTGGTCATGTGAGTTCTTCTCTCTGAACAAACTTGTGTCAAGGGACCTGATCCACGGTCTGCCCAAAATAAAATTTGCAGATGCAAAGTTTGTGATGTTTGTGTTAAAGAGAAGTAGATCATACCATCCTTCAAGTGGAATAAGCAGACTGTTAATCTTCCAAAGAACGTTCTGGCTGAAATGGTGAATATTACATGTTCTATGGCCAAAATGATGATATTGAGAAGTTTAATCTCATGTTGAAAGAGTATTTGTGGGATATTCTTCCTCCAGCAAGGCTTATCGGGTGTATAAAAAGGTGGTCATGTGTTTTTTGATGAGTCTGGAAGAATTGAGAAGTTGCAAAAGAAAGAAGATTCTAAGATGAAAGAGATGCTTCAAATTCAAAGAGATGGTCTAAACAGCGAGCTTGCTGAAGAACATCCTCTTTATGAATCCAGCAATCCCAAAGAAGCTGATGTAGATGATGAACTTGATGAGGGACCTAGTCCGGTAGTCAATGTTGAACAAAGATGATGCAGTTCAAACTGATAATGCAAATTCTGAAGGTGAGAAGAAAGAAGCTGATCAATCAAGCTCAGCAGCTGGCAAGAAATACAAAGTTGCATCAATTTGAAAGAAGCAAAGCATGACACTTATTTCCCCAACAAGCTGATAGGTTGTCCAAGTTCCTCTTAAAAAAATGACTTCAAAAGAGGTAAAATTGACAAAACCCTCCTTTTGAAATCACAAGGAAAGAAATTGCTGACCATTCAAGTATATATCAATTGTGTCAACTTTAGAGCAACCTTTTGAGTTGTTGTGTGAAGAGTTTGCCGCATTCATGGGTAGTGAGTTCTAAATGAGCATGATGGGAGATTTCTTCTTAGAGCTACAAATCAAGCAAACTCCTAAAGGTACCCTCGACTGTCAAGAAAAGTACACCAATGAGCTGCTCAAAAGGCTTAACATACTTGAAGTCAAGATAATGTTAAAAAGGGGTAATGTCATCATGAAATTTCGCAAAATGGAAGATCAAGTGGCTGACATCTTCACCAAATCCCTAAGCAACGACCGTTTTGTCAAGAACACGTATACACTCATAGTGACTTAGCTAAAGAGAAGAAGCTAACATAGCGTGATCAGGGCAATTGATATCAAACAAAGACAAGGACCTGGTACCAGCTCATAAAAGCTACTGAAGAAGTTTCATATTATGAATGCCAAGACAATTCATACTCTCATGGGCACTAACTTGAAGCTGGATACTGATGAACCTTGTTCAGAGATTCCATACTTGTACAAAGGAATCACATTTGAAGGCTGCTAAGAAAATCTCGAGACATTTGAAGAAGACATGGAACCTAGTTCTATTCTGTCGATCAAGAGACTTTTTTACTTGGAGGAGTATGGTGATGCTGATTATGTTGGGTATCAAGTTGATAGAAAGAGTACCTCGGGAATGGCTCATTTTCTGGGATCATATCTTATTTCATGGGGATCTAAAAATGCACGATTTGGTTTCTCTTTCAACAACTGGTGATCTTGGGAATATTTGTATGCCCAATTACTACAAATTACCCATCTTTAACGTAAGTTTTAGGACATTCACTAATCTAACTAGTATATTTTGGCTTAAGAGTGCGATGATTGCATACTAACATACATGATAAATAATTTTACAGGATTCATAAGGAAGTGATCGAGTCAAGGAAGAAAAGGAGTTGATAAACGACGAGTAAGTCCAGGAGCAAATGCTGGCGTGGAGCCCCAGCGTCACATGGCGCAGGATAGGCGTGATGCGCCAGTGAGGTTTTTACTGAGGCTACATTTGGGCGCACTGGCAGCGCGGCGCGCCAGCTTGCCAAGTGCGATGTGGGCGCGGCCCCCACCCTTGTTCCGACGTTTCCAACAAAAACATTATTAAAAAGGATTCCTAATTGTAATAGACTTCGACTCAATTGTCCCTAATTATTAAAAATAGACCCTTAGGGCTCCATTGTTAGGGTTCGACTTTTATTTGGTGTGCAAGAGCAAGTATCTACGTTTGTAATAGGTTTTGATCTTCTAACTCTTTTATTTTCCAGAAATCACATGAACAATTATATTTTGTGGTTTTCTAATAGCATGAGTGGCTAAACGCCCTAGTTCTGGGGCTGTAGCTACGGATTCAATGTTGATTATTTAAGGCTTTTTGAATTAATTCTTGGTTGTCATTATAAGTTACTTCTATATTTTTATTTTAGTATTTCTTGACAGGCCATCTAGAGATAAATATATTGTCAAATCTTAAAATTGAGAGATGAGGGATTAGATAGACCAGAGAATATAGAGAGCTCGATCGACCCATTATATTGAGGTGATTTGTGTTTAGGAGTGACGCCCGGACGAATAACTTGCTTGGTTACAAAATAGGATGAAATATAAATGCCCACCAATTAGTCTATTTATCCCTGCTCAACGATGTAGTTAGATAGCTACCTGGAGTAGCTGACTAGAGGTGTGTAGCCCAACTCATACAATTAACCCTATAAACCAGTAACTTGACAACTGAAATTCGTTCTAAACCAATAATATGATACATGATATTTAGTATATACTGCAGCCCTAGAATTGTCTCTTACTTGCTTGAAACATCATCTTAAAGTCGTTCACATTTAGTTACGTTTATTTAGTTCATAATTAGTAGTAGTTAACAATCAATCGTCAACTCTTGAAAAGGTTACTTTTAATTTTATTTGTAGAATTAAGTGTTAAATATAAATTGATCATAAGTCTCTTGGGAACGATAACTCGTTTCTTAAATAATCTATATTACTTGTGCGACCACGTACACTTGCGTGTATATTGGGGAGCAACAAGTTTCTGGCGCCGCTGTCGGGGACTTAGAAATTGATTTATATTCAATTTTCTTAAGTCTACAATTAGATTATTTAGATACTAATTACTTGATCTTAGTTTGTTGATTGAAGGCACTTGATTTTCAGGTCGGGCTCGAAAAGGAGATCTTGTCGAACCTTACAACGAACCTGAAAGAGTTTTACACCAGAAAAGGAAAATGGTGAATCAAGGACGATAGGGAGAATTGGGGTTAGGTCTTCTGGGAAATTTTGATGATGATAATCAAGACAACTTGAATAGCCCGGAAAACATGAATAACCAAAGGAACCCGAATAACCAAGGAAATTTGAATAACCAAGGAGTACCGCCTGTCGTACCCGCAAGACCAGTCCATGATGTAGCAGTCCCACTCACAGCCAATTTGGCATCTATATTAGGAAACCTCCACCGGGGGGTAGATTTGAACTAAAGCAGAGCATAACACAGATCCTCCATTCTAATGGGCATTTCACTGGCCTCCCCCATGAGGATCCTCAAATCCATCTTAGAACCTTCATAGACATTACCAATACATACATCCCAATTGGAGTCTCATCAGACTATGTAAGGTTGACTTTGTTCCCATACTCATTGTTAGGAGCTGCAAGGCGTTGGTTAAACTCTGAGCCACCAAACTCTATCACTACTTGGGATGATCTAACAAAGAAGTTCCTGAGTCGATTTTTCCCATCCAAAAAAACTGCTAAGCTGAGGGTTGAGATAATAAACTTTGTTCAAAAGCAAGGAGAAGACATGTACCAAGCATGAACGAGTTTCAAACAAATGTTGAATGCTTGCCCACACCACATGCAAACCAAATGAGGTACTTGCTCACACTTTCTTTGAGGGTTTAGACTATAATGCTCGTGCTCTTCTTAATAGTGCACCAGGTGGACAGGCCCTATCCATAACAAGTGAATAGTTCTTCGCCTTACTCGATAAACTTTCTGATGGGAACTAAGGGCATGAGGGGGAAATGTCTAGAACCCCAACCCAAAAGGCTGCAGGGATCTTAGATGTAGACCAAACTACTGCCATAAATGCCAAATTAGATGGAATGCAACATAACATGACCTTACATTTTAAAAAAATGGCTCTAAATCACGCACCAAAAAATGTAGTACAACATGCAGTAAATTGGTGTGAGGTATTGGTAGTGGAACTCATGAAACCGAGCAATGTGAGGCAAACCCGGATTCCATAAACTATGTGAGTAATGTGCAAAGGGGTGGAGTGCAACAAAATTATGGTAATACTTACAACCCTAATTGGAAGATCCATCCTAACTTCTCATGGAGTGGTAACCAAAAACAAAATCAGGCGCAAGGGGTTAACCAATACCGTTCTCAAGGGGCTGGCAACAATACTACAATCCTAACCAAGGTTCAAATCCTAGTGCACCAAAAGGGGGGATGACCAATGAAGAGCTACTCCAAAAGCTCATGACTGAAATAGGGACCAAATTAAATGCTAGAATAGATAAGCAGGATGAGAACATTAGAAACATCCAGATATCCCAAATGAGTTTAGAGAAACCAGTTGCGCAAGTGGCTAATTCTTTGAACTTGCGTCCCCAAGGTGGGCTGCCCGGTGATATTGAGCCCAACCCAAAGCAATTGCATGCGGTAAGTATTAGAAGTGGGCTACAATTAGAGGAACTAGCTCCAAATAAGAAAGACACTGAGGTAAGTAACAAAGAAAAGAAGGTGGAAGAGGTAGTAAGAAACTCCACTGTTAAGGTACCCGTTCCTCAAAAGGAATTACCACCTCCATTTCCACAAAGGCTGAAAAAGCAGAATGAAGATGAATGTTTCAGTAAGTCTCTCTCTCCTTAAATATGTTCTCATTAATCTACCATTGGTTGACATTTTGGAGGATATCCCGAAGTATGCTAAATACGTGAAGGACATTGTGGCTAGCAAGAGGAGGCTCACGGAACATGAAGCTATAGTGCTTACTGAGGAGTGCAGCTCAAGGATCCAAAACATACTGCCCAAAAAGTTAAAAGATCCGGGTAGTTTTACTGTGCAGATTACAATTGGGCAAAGTGTTCATGCCCGGGGGTTGTGTGATTTGGGGGCAAGTATAAATTTGATGCCCTTATCTTTGTATCTGAAGCTTGGGTTGGGTAGTCCAAAACGAACCACTGTTATTCTCCAACTTGCTGATAGATCCATTGCTAAGCCAGAGGGGGTGGTAGAAGATATGTTAGTACAAGTAGGTTCATTGATTTTTCCGATAGATTTTGTGGTCTTAGACTTTGAACTCGATCCTGAAGTTCCATTCATTTTGGGACGTCCTTTCTTGGCCACGAGTAGGGCATTGATCGATGTAGAAGCTGGTCAATTAACCATGAGGGCACATGATAAGGTAGTGGTATTTGGTGTTTTTCGTGCTCTAAATTGTCTTCTATTTATGAAGAGTTATCTGTTATTACTGTGGTTGATCGCATAGTAGAGTCGCAGTTAGTTGTGCCCGAAGACCCCTTAGAAAGAGTGTCAATAGGTCATAAGAGAGATGAAGACACTGAGGCTCAAGAGATAGAAATATGTCTGAATCTGGCACTTGTGGAGCCTCACAAGCGGAGAGTGGAACCATTAGAGCGTGAGTTAGGGCCACCACCCAAACCCTCCATTGAGGAAGCCCCAAAGCTGGAACTGAAAACACTGTCGGCTCACCTCAGGTATGCATTTTTAGGTACTAATGAAACTTTGCATGTTATACTTTCTGCAGAGTTGTCTGAAATATAGGTTGGAGCAACATTGAGGATCCTTAAGCGGAGAAAGAAAGCTATTGGATGGAAGATGGCTGACATTCATGGGATTAGTCCAGCGTTATGTATGCACAAAATCTACATGGAAGAGGATCACAAACCAAGTGCACAACATCAATGTCGACTAAATCCTTTGATGAAATAAGTGGTGAGAAAATAGGTAATAAAGTGGCTAGATGCTGGAGTTGTGTACCCAATCTCTGATAGTAAGTGGGTAAGTCCGATACAATGTGTTCCCAAGAAGGGAGGTATGACAATGGTAAGGAACGAAAATAATGAGTTGATTCCTACTAGAACAGTGATCGGGTGGAGAATTTGCATGGATTACCGGAAACTAAATGATGCTACCCGGAAAGATCAGTACCCCGTTCCCTTCATTGATCATATGCTTCATCGACTAGCAGGGCAGGAGTACTATTGTTTATTAGATGGGTATTCTGGTTACAACCAGATCTTGATTGCACCCGAGGATCAGGAAAAGACCACGTTCACTTGTCCTTATGGTACCTATGCTTTCAAATGCATGCCATTCGGACTTTGCAATGCACCGGTGACTTTTCAAAGGTGTATGATGGCCATTTTTCATGATATGGTGGAAGACTTTGTAGAGGTGTTCATGGATGATTTCTCCGTATTTGGGAAGTCTTTTGAGATATGTCTCCGAAATCTTGATAAAGTACTTGCTAGATGTGAGGACACTAACTTAGTTCTAAAATGGGAAAAATCTCACTTTTTGGTTAGAGAGGGGATAATGCTAGGACACAAGGTGTTTAAGTCTGGTTTAGAGGTTGATAAGGCCAAGGTAGAAATTATTGAAAAATTGCCCCCTTCCATTTCTGTAAAAGGGGTGCGTAGTTTTCTTGGTCATGCAGGATTTTACAAGCGATTCATCAAAGATTTTTCCAAGATTTCAAGACCTATGTGCAGTCTCTTAGAGAAGGAGGTGAAGTTTGACTTTGATGAGATGTGCTTAAAAGTTTTTGAGATGTTGAAGAGGAACTTAATTGAAGCTCCCATCTTAATTGCTCATGATTGAGAATTACCATTTGAACTCATGTGTGATGCAAGCGACGTAGCAGTGTGTGCAGTGTTGGGACAAAGAAAGAATAAAGTGTTCCACTCGATCTATTGTGCAAGTAAGACCCTTGACTTTACACAAGTTAATTACACAGTGACTGAGAATGAGATGCTGGCTCTAGTGTTCGCCTTCGACAAGTTCAGATCGTATTTGGTAGGTACTAAAGTGATTGTTTTTACTGACCATGCAACTATTAGGTACCTATTCAACAAGAAGGATGCTAAACCAAGGCTGATTTGATGGATATTGCTTCTCCAAGAATTTGACCTTGAGATCAAAGATAGGAAAGGTACTGAAAATCAGATAGCGGATCACTTGTCCAGGTTAGAAGATTTGTCACATGTGAATGGAGGTGAGCAAATCCGGGAAGAGTTTTCGGATGAACAGTTGATGGCATTAGATATCTTTCAAGTGCCATGGTATGCAGACATTATGAAATTGATGGTAAGTGGAGATTATCCTCCAGGTGCAACCACCCAACAAAAGAAAAAGCTCAATCATGATGCTAAGTTCTATATCTGGGATGAACCATTCTTGTTCAAGCAAGGTGTAGACCGGGTAGTGAGAAGATGCATTCCAGAGTCTGAGGTTTACAAAGTGCTCGAAAGTTGTCATGCTAGCCCATATGGAGGTCACCATGGAGGAGAGTGCACTGCTCATAAGGTACTACAATCTGGTTTCTTTTGGCCCTCGATATTTAAAGATTCTATTGCTTTTGTGAAGGATTGGGTACTATTTCAAGAAGACATGAGATACCGCTAAATAACATTTTGGAAGTGGAAATCTTTGATGTGTGGGGTATTGACTACATGTGTCCCTTCCCGCCATCTAGTGGAAACCAATACATTCTTGTGGCTGTGGATTATGTGAGTAAATGGGTTGAGGTTGTCGCTCTTCCTTCGAATGATTCAATGGTGGTAATAAAGTTCATCAAGAAGCACATCTTCGCTCGCTTTGGCACTCCAAGGGAAATCATAAGTGATGGAGGTAAGCATTTCATTAACCATCTAGTTAAAAACCTTCTCGCTAAGTATGGTATTCGTCATAAAGTTGCTACAGCTTACCATCCTCAAACGAGTGGCCAAGTGGAGGTTTCAAACAGAGAAGTGAAACAAATTTTGCAAAAAATGGTGAATGCGCAGAGAAAAGATTGGTCTGAAAAGTTAGACGATGCGTTGTGGGCATTTAGGACTGCGTATAAGACACCCATATGGACTTCTCCCTATCACATAGTATTTGGAAAACATGTCATCTTCCGGTGGAATTAGAACACCAAGCTTATTGGGCAATTAAGAAGTTGAACTTGGACCCCGAGCTGGCCGGTAGAAAGAGAGTAAATACGTTGCATGAACTTGAGGAGTTTAGGCTTCACGCGTATGAGAATGCCAAGTTTTACAAAGAAAAGACGAAGAGGTGGCATGACAAGCACATAGTTGCTCGAACTTTCACTCCAGGAGGAAAAGTACTACTCTTTAACTCTAGATTGAGGTTATTCCCCGGAAAACTATGGTCTAAATGGAGTGGTCCTTTCAAAGTGGTAAGTATGACATAACATGAGGCTGTTGAACTTAAAGGTGAGACTGGCCCTACGCTCTTGGTAAATGGGCAAAGAGTGAAACACTACTTTGGTGTAGACTCGGATCGTGATCGGGAGACTCTTGAGCTAAATGATGAATGATCCAAGCTGCGTCGTGGCGCGACGTAAAATCAAGCGCTACACGGGAGACAAACCATAAATAATATGTAATAGGTAGTAGTTTTACTTAATTTTGAAACTTTAGCTTAGTTTCAAATTTCTAGGTGTAGAGTTTTTATTTTCTTAGTTTGTTATTTAGATAGGAATTTAGAAATTATAAAGAAAAATACAAAAAGATGAGTCGTGCCACGACCAAAACTAAGGCGCTAGGAGGGAGGCAACCCACCATAATTATGTCACATTGTTTGGTTGATGCGCAGGCTATTGGAGGAGAAACCACCCGAAATTTGAAGAATGAAGCTAAAAAATGAGTTCAGACGCATGTTGGGCGCGCCACGCCAAAGGCTGAAGGTAGATGATCACATGTTTATGGATGAGTTCGGGATGTCTAGATGTACCTTAGAGTGTTGAAGACAACTATAAAACATAGGTACATTACCAAGGAACATGTATGAAAAAGTGGGAAATGAATGGGAAGGATTGGCGTCCTTGGCGCTCTAAGAGGCGCGGGGCGCCAGCCTTTAGACTTCAGAGGGGCCTGCTGGGCGCTCTGCTAGGCGTGCAACCACAAGGGGGAAAGTTCAGAACCCCTTTTGGGGGGCGCTGGCAGGCGCGATGCCCCACCCTTTTTCCCCGAAAATTCGACTTTCTTCCTTAGTCTTTCCAACTCTAAACCTTCTTGACTTCAAAGTTTCCCAGCCCCAAACACTTAGAATCATAAATCCCCTTACTATACAATAGGTTCAACTCGAAAACACCACCGGAAACATACACCAAACCAAAAAGAAACTTCAACAACACAACTACAACTTCAACAAACATCACCACAAGACTTCAACAAACACAACTAATCTCTTCTCGGAATTAAAACGAGTTTAACGTGTGGGGGATGAACCAATACCAACACTAAAATCTCACATACCTTAATAGGGATCACCCCCGACAAAAACCACGATGATCTTGACTAATCCTTGCTTCTTCTCTTTCTCCTCTTCTTCTCTTCTCTCTCAAACCCTCACTCTTACTTTTCAAAAGGGGAAACTGATTTTAAAAAATCAGCTTAGACCCTTTATAAAACCAAAAGAAAAGGTTAGGGAAAATACCAAATTACCGTTTAAAATTCGGACTGAACTTTCCTGTGCCAATAGCCCTACTTCCAAACGGCATAGCTCACTCATACGAACTCGAAATCGCGCAAACTAGGCGGAGTTGGAAAGATCATTCCAAGGGCTTTCCAAACATAACTGGAAATACACCTAAATCATCCTGATCTAGGAGCTATGACTGCTCAAAGTTGACCAAAAACTCACTTTTTCCATACTTGGCTAAATTTCCAAATTTTGAATTCTTTCCAAAAATGACTATTTCCAATTTCAAGCTTCTTCATAGTTATTTCAACTTGCCGGATGTTGCAATATCTCCCCCTTGTAACATCAACTCAAACACCCAACAAGCAACCATGCAAACAACAACAACAACATGCTCACTATAGCTTAAAGAACACTAAGGAGCAAATTAGTTCCTTGATCTGCATTTCCTCTGGATTCGAAGAGATGTGGATATCTCTTCTTTATGTCCTCTTCGGCTTCCAAGTAGCTTCCTCAACAAATTGGTTCCTCCAAAGGACCTTGACAGATGCCACATCTTTCGTTCTCAACTTGCGAACTTGGCGATCTAAAATCTGAACAGGAATCTCCTCATAACTCCCTTCATGGGTGAAACTTTCAAATATACCCAATCATCTACTTCGAACTTTAACGCCCTTTTCCTAACATCAGTGTAGGAGTTTGACGACTCTGTGCCATTTTCAACCTTTCTTAAATCACTTTCACCTTCTCCATAGCTTGATGAACTAACTCTGGATCTATGAAGCTTGCTTCACTAACTTCAAACCATCCAACAAGAGATCTACATCTCCTCCCATAAAGATTTTTATAAGGAGCCATATGGATGCTAGAATGGTAACTATCGTTGTAAGCAACTCCATGTAAGATAACCTAGGTAAACATCTCAATTATCCTTGAAATCAATCCTACAATCCACCTTAATACCTCAAAACACCATCTCCCCCTTGTTTAAAAGACATCACTGCTTATGAACATTTTGCCTGTATTTTAAATAAGATAGGGTCTGGGTCTTTCTCACCTTTTTACTTCTGGCACTACTGATGGTTCAGACCCATTCATCATCATTATT